AAAGTCTATCTCAAACGAGACTTTTTAATCCTATATTAAAAAAGCCAACTCTCATTCCAAACGAACCCTAAATATATTTTTTGAATTTTTACGAAAAGATGTGTAAAAAAATAGATATGTTATGTGATTTAAATAAGTACACTTATTTAATTTATACCAAATAGTATGAGGTGTATCTGAAAAATAAAAAAATAAAAATATAAACAAATATTAAATAAAAACTCATTTAAAAATAATTTTTAAAAAATCAAACCAAACTTACCAATTTTTTAAAACAATGGCCTCGTTTGGTAGAGATGTGGGAAAGCGATAATAATTTATACCTTAATAGCTTATAGCTTATAACTGTGAATATAAGCTGATTTTTTACTTATAAATTAAGTTTTTCCTCCCTCACTCAAAAAATAAGTTAATTTTTAACTTACAAAAAGTTATAAGTTGTATTATTAAACTGAAATAAATACATCAAAATAACTTAAATTAAACTAAAAATTAAAATAAGCTGAAAATAAACCGGGCCAACAGTAAATTGGCAGGTAAAAATTGGGAAGAATAAATTGCCGCCCATTCAAAAAGGTAGTTGGGAGCAAAACTACACGTGTCAGGGATCTGGTGCAAGTTAACTAACATCCAACGGTTACTATTTGAAACAGTCCAAACAATTTGCGACACCTTTTGACTATACCTTCCCTCCACCGTTTGCTCTTTCCTACTTTTATCAAACACACTATTTATAGTTGTAACGTAATGGTTGTTGTTTGCTTACAAGTGAGTCAATGACCAAATTGTCCCTCTCCAAGGTTACCTTGCTTTTTTGGGATCATATCCCTTAATTCCTTCCCAAGTCCTCTTGTCACAATTTTACGCATATTCAAATGCTTGTAGTAATTATTGTTTAAATCCCCTCAGCTCTTATTTAAATTGCAATAATATTACAATAATCATATTTATATACTACTAAATTTTGATTACATTTATGATAGTATATATTTTACATACATAATAAGATGCTAGTGAATTATTAAATTATATTATAATAAAATGATCGTAATCGCTCCATAAACTTAAATTTTGAAAATCTGACCTTCTCATTAAGGAACAACTATATAAAGCACTAGATAGCTATGAGTTGTAAAATCCATTAAATCAATACAATAATATGACAAATAAAATGGTAAGAAAAATGTAATAATTGTACTATTATAGTTTACTTTTTAATATCAATTAAATGATTTTATTATCATTATTAGAAACATGTACTTACGATTTTTTAATCTCTCTAATAGCATATTTATTCAAACTTTCAAAATTTAGTATGTCGAATTTTTTTGAAAGTTTGAGTAACAAATTGACATATGTCAATTTGACATTTCTTATAAGAAAACTTTCCATTCGACATGTCAAATTTATTATGTTATTTTTCATATTAATAATTTTTAAGCTCCTTTATTTTACTAATTAAAATGAATTTATTTTTTAAAAATGTTTAATCCCATTTAAATATTGTTTTATTTCTAAAACAATGCTATAATTATAAAAATTGCTAAACAAAAGCTTTTGAAACGGTGAAATAATAGACATGACTGTGGCTTTCATTATTTGAACTTCAAAAGTTTATTTTATCGTTACATTTTTTTTTATTTGAAAAAAAAAAAGAAAAACCAACAGAACATCAACTACATAACATGTCAATTTTGACATGGTGAACTTCCTACCAAAAGCCACATCATCATTTTGAAGTCTTGGGTGGATTAAACACTTGGGGTCATTTATTACCATTGGTGTTCCAACAAGGATTTGCCACACCACGTGGAGACGTTCTAATTCTCCATTATGGTTAAATTGAGTAATACTAGGTATCATGAAAAAAAATTTATGAAAATGATCGTGAAAAATTTATGATTTTTAGATTATACTTAAAATAAAATATCACACATTAACTAAGGTAATACAAGGATCATAATTCTTTCATGATCATTTTCATGAAAGTTTTTTCATGATCCTTAGCTTTTCTCGGTTAAATAATGTAGAAAAAAAAGAAGTAGAAAACGTGAGAGATGTTAAATATTTTATTAATATTTTTACTAAATATTTTATATGAATATGAGATTCACATTATGAAAGTTTTATGTAGGTCTCACACCCACATTTGGTAAAAATATTAGTAAAACATTTAGGATCCCTATCATTACTAAAAAAAAAAAAAAAGATGCCTATTTAGTAAAAAAATGACATCTATTAATAATTGCGATGGTGCTACGTGCATTAATTAGTGTATCAATATTAGTTATAATATTATTATTGATCATACTCATTATATAAAGAATAATGCTATATGCACCAATTAGTTTACGAACTAGTGTACCAATTGATGATGTGACATAATTTAAGAGATTTTTAGTATTTGTAATGTGATTAATGAATAAGGTCAATAATAATGTCATAACTAATATTGGTACACTAGTTAGTATATTAATTGGTGTATGTAGTATCACTATTATATAAATTACAAATACTAAAAATATCTTAAATTATGTTATATTATCAATTGGTACATTAGTTAGTACATTAATTGATGCATATAACATTATTCTAATAATTGTGTACTACTTTTTTAATAAAAATATTAATTATTGGTTCCCACAAAATATGAGAGTTTAGTGTCAAGATTCAAATCTCATAATTAAAAAATATATATTACTTAGAAATTTAAAATATAAGTGAAGGAAAACCAAAAGGAAAATAAAATAGTAAGGAGTTTTAAAAAAAAAAGTTGAGTTACAATTTATCAATCAAATGACAAGCTAAATTTGACACACTCGCAAAAAAAAATTATTAGTGTTGCAAAAATTGTTGTCTAAACTAAAAAAAGAAAAATAAGAAAAATAAGGGACCACACACAACTAGGGACTGTGGAATCAAAACTTGTATAAAGCTCAACCATTGAGTAAAATTGTGGTGATTCCATCGCCAACCATTCAAATTCTCCATTTGAAGTTTGACCTTCCACAATGGCAAATCATTGTCTAATCATCATCCCATTTGGACAAGAAGGTCCACCAACAAAGCATGATTTTATTTACACATTATTAATATTTTTAATACATATTATTAATAGATTAAATTTATATTATAATAATATCCTCTAATGAAATGATCATTAAGGACAATACGAGTTGTATTTTATTTAATCAAAAATTTCATATTTAAAAACACAAGATATTTTTCACACATCATTAATTCTATAGGATTTAGGGTTTTAACATATAAACATTGTATTTTCATTATTTTTAACGTTAACATACACTTATGTAGGGCTACAAATGAGTCGAACCGACCTTTTGAATGTTCAAACTCGTTTATTAAGAATTAGTTGAAGTCAAGCTCGAGCCGAGCTCTAATTGAGCTTCAAAAATTAAGCTCGAACTTGGCTCATCAAATATTTGTTGAATTCGAGCTCGCTCAATTACATAAATGAGTCGAATTCGAGCTTGGGCTTGAGCTTGAAAAAAAATTAAATTAAAATTAATTTACTTATTAAGATAAAAAAAATACAAATTTATGAGTAAAATATATAATAATACTTATATTAATAATAAATTTCATCAATCAAATATGTAAATTTACACAAACACTAAACATAAATAAAAAATAAAATAGATTATTGAAAATTTATTTAATATATTAATTAATTTATTTTTATATTCACGAACCTTATCGAGTCAAGCTTTAAGGCTACTTGAGTTCGGCTCGATTAATAAATGAGTCTAAAAATTGAGCTCGAGCTCGTTCATTTAATAAACGAGTCGAGCTTAAACGAGCCGAGCTCGAGCTGTTCATGAACAGTTCGATTCGTTTGCAACCCTACACTTATGATATCATTCATTTTCAGTTAACTCATTTCATTATCTTTTCCATTATATTTATTTTTCAAACTTAAAACATTGTTGCCTTTGAAAATTTAGGGTTTAAAAACATTGAAATTAATGAAGATTTGCACACCATAAATGACACTTAGGTTATTGGTTTTGATATAAGCATTGAAAACATTGATTTGAATATTGAAAATGTTAGTTTATGACTTAGATTTTAAATTTTTTTTATTTATCTTGTTCGTATGTTAGGAAGATGAGTTTATTCGTTGTGTTCGAATAATTATAGTTGAACTTTTACACAATACTCGATTATTTATATTTGAACAAAAAAATATTCAATGTTGATATATAAAAAATTAAATATTTTAAGTTAGTTTGGTTAAAATAAATTAAACTTTTATTCATTGTTCAAATATAAATTTGTGAACATATTAAGTTTGTTCAACTCTATATTCATAAACATGACTAATTTGATAAATTTAAAACGATGACGAGAGACGAGAGTTAAAGACTGACAATGAAGATCAACATTGGTGAAGATGGATGCCAAATGAAACACTTCGCCAGTGATCTAAAACGATGAGACGAGATACGACAATAATTCAATACTAATTATGAAGATTAACACGAGCCAAGATGGAGGCTGAATGATACCTCTGCCGGCAATGGAGATTAAGGTTAACAAAGATGGTTTTTGTTTTGAAAATTGTGAAGTTTTTGTTGTATGTAGTAGTGAAGATGAAAATTTTTTGGTGTGTATTTGTATTCAAATAGTTAGTGGTGCATTAATATATGATTAGTAATGGAAATTTAAGATGTAAATTAAGATATTTTTAAATTTTAAAAATTATTTTATATGTATACTAAGTTCTGATTAGTAATGGAAATTTAAGATGTGAATTAAGATATTTTTAAATTTTAAAAATTATTTTATATGTATACTAAGTGATGGTATGCACTGAGAGTCTTAGAGGTGTGTAAATAGAGTCACCCACCAACAAATAGGAAGGTAGGATTGCAATGTCATCTGAATAAATGTTAGGGGCATTATGGTCTTTGAACATATGACCATTTCAAATTTGGTGACAGAGAAATCAAAATATGCTTTATGTGCTGCAAAGAGGAGAGAGAAAATAAAAGGAAGAAGAAAAGCAAAAGCTGCATCGTCTTCACACGCTTTGGATTTTCTCTATTCATATTTCTCTCTCATGTGTCGAAGAGACCACCACCACCATCATTTCCTCTCTCTCTCTCTCTCTTTCTCTCTCTCTTTCTCTCTAAACCTCTGAACATTTTGAGGGTTTGAGCTTTGATTTCGCACTATCGACTCACTTTTATCTTTACAATATCTGAAGATCTTCGCCGATTCTTCATCATTTCCTCAAATTTTCACTTTTTCTGGTTGTGTTGTCGGCAAATTTAATAGGGTTTTGCGATCTTGTTGCAGAGGTAGATCGATCGCAGAGGTGAGGTACTTCACCGTTTACTTGAACTTGAACGAGGTAACTACTTTTTTATTTTATTTTATTTTATTATTTCGTTTTCCGGAGTTTGTGGAAGATTTGCTATATTCGGAGGGCAGAATCTACAAGTAGATCGTGTTAAGATTTATCAGATTTTGTGTTTTTTGGTCCTTTTTAGGCTAAAAATTCTCTTACTTGAAGAGCATTGCGAAGTGAGTTGAAGTCTGAGATAGGTTGAAGAAATTGAGACAATTTTACAGTGTTTGGACTCTGAAATTATAGGGCTTTGTGGGAATTTTGTGAAAGTTTTGGGTATAATTTCTGTTAAAGTGATTACTCGTTCAAAGTTGTGTGACTTGGGAGTTTAACATCATTGCCAGACATCTGTTGTGGATTGTTTCCAAATTGGGTTAGTTTTGGTGTTGATATTGTCGTTGGCGATTGATCAATGAACAGCACTACAGTCTGTTTCGCAAATTATGGTCCCCTCCATTAGGGTTGGCAGATAAGTCGTGGGTCCTTGTTAAAGTTTGATTTCTTTTTTTTGGGGAAAAAGGTTAGCTTTTTGATCTCCCTAATCTTTATCCTGTTGGGTCTGGTGAAGCTCATTCACGCAACCCCTTAGAGCATATGTCGCAGAAAATTCCGGTATCTCCTTCCCTCCAGGCAATAAAATCGTTGCCTGTGGACTTCAGATTTATGGGTTCACCAACCCCTCGTCCTTCTGAGAGCTTTGATGCTGTGAATCCAAGCAACAGTAACATGATCCCCAATGCCATTCCTGAAAACGGTGATGTAGCGCGTGAGGTTGTTGAGGGCAGCGAGGAAGTTAATAACAACATGGTTCCAGATAATGATGAATCACCTTATAGTAGATTTAATGTAACTGTTGAGGCCAGGCCATCTGTGGGAGATGAGGATCTGGATTTGGCAACTACTCCTTTACGACCGTTTGCCCCATTGCGTACTGAATCCAAGTGGAGTGACACCACCCCATATTCTGCAAAGAAGGTAATTTGTAGCTTCAAAGTTTGAGTTTTAATTAGGATGTGGAGCTCAGAATTTTCCTTTTTTGCCGTGAATGAATCTCACATACCCTTTGCATTGTGAATTAATCTATGTGCATTTTTCACTTCTTCAATGGCCTGTATGTAGTAATATCATCCTCACAAGTTCTTCTGATTATAACTTGTTTAAATTAGCATGCACGTGATGTTGCACAAAACTTGATATTTAAAATGTACCATCTACAAAGATTAAGGATAGATTGCAAGTTTTGGGCTTAAAGGCAGAAGAAAAAGGTTGTGGGATTTGTATAAGGGAAAAGGTTGGGATTTGCCTGATTTTAAGGGAGAAGGTGCTTAAATTTTAAGTGCTGGTGGAGTTTCTGCACAACAACTGTTTAAGGGTTTGTTGTTGCAAAAGATAAGTATTCAATTTGTGGAGCTAAGATAAGTAGCTAGCATCTAAATTACCAATAATTTTTGTGAACTCCTGTACTTTAAGAGTTCTTAATTAAGTAAAAACTTGATTAGCAGAGGAGTATGGCTGTCATTGAAATTAAATTGATAAAAGGTTCCTTTCTATGTTTAACTCTTTGTTTTATATATATATACATATTTTTTGAGCATGTTATTTAGCTTTTCTTTTAAGTTTTATTGCTTATAAGGAATGCTCCATGGCAGGTGTTGGGGTACATGAAACTTTCTTTTTTTTTTTAAAATTTGGTATCCAAGTATGCAACTCAAAATACAAGTGATTTACAAGTTGTAGTTGGGATTTGTAACATTTAGATCAAAGAACCTTTAAAGTTTTATTCCAGGCATTGCCTCTCTTTTCTCTTTTGTGAGAAAGCTTGCTTCTTTTTTTTTTTTGTTTTAACAAAATTTTTTATGTGCTATCTGTTGAACCGATAGTCCAGGAATATCCAAGGGTGTTATTGATTTTAAACTTGCTATATTATCTTTTGTTACCAGTGGATACATCCCAAAACATAAGTTTCTTGTGAGTTGTGAGTTTACTTAGCTAAAAATACTCCTCATTTCTGTGTATATGCTAGTTTATGGATTGAGAAAATAATTTGTTCAATAGTTTGTAGCATGGTTCTATGTAATAGAAATCCTCAATAACATTAGATATTTTGTAATGGTAGAGTTCTAGTCACTTGGTTCTTCCCAAAAAAAAAAAAAACTGCTGCAAGTGAGGCCTGAGGGATTAAAAAATTGCAATAAAAATTAGGGATTCAGAAAATTAACTGATTTAATTAAAACAAGGGTTTCAAAATTACCTTCAGGTGAGTCCCTAAGGGAGAGAAAGAGATGATTGCTGCTGTTGACGGAGAGGAAGAGCGACGATCGGTGCTACATGTCCACAACAATTGACCTCTAACTCATTGCAGAATGCAATTGCTGGAGAAGGAGAGTCGTAGATGTCACCTGAGATTGAGAGCTTGAGCTTGAGGGTTTAGGACTTTACCCTCTCTTTGATGAGAATGACTGATTAAGATTGAGAGATTGAGGGTTTCATGAGAGTGACTGATTGAGACAGAGGTTGAAGGTTTGATGAGAGATTAAGATTGGAGAGCAGAATAAGGGATAAAAACTTTGAAAAGAGAGCTAGAGGGGGTCAGGGTTATGGAGAGAGGGAGGGAGGGATGGAAGGAGGAGGAGGAGGCTGAGACGAGACAACAGGCACACTGAGAGGTTAAGGGAGTGATTGTGTGAGGGGCTAGGTGAACCTAAACCGGCTGGTTCGGTCAGTTTCTGTTTGATATTAAGGCGGCTCGACATCAAACTGACAAAAAAAATTTCAAAAAAAATAAAGAAAAGAAAACGAAGAGACCGAACTGACAGGTTCAGTGACAAAAACTGACCGAGAATTGAATTTTCCAACCGGTTTGGTTCACTTGGTTAAACTTTCATCCCTATTGATGCTCTTTTTTAATAGCTTAAGCTTTTATAATGATATCCCATAAAAAAAAACCTTTTAAAAATAGAAATTTCGTTAACAAAATTCATCCATTTCCCCCCCTAAGTTTTGTCTACTAATTTTATAGTATATGGTTTATGAGCATGTTGTACATATTACTTCCCATTGCTGCGTGAAATTAAACAAATATCTAAAATTTTAAAAAATAAATATCCCAAGGGTGGAAAATTATTGAGCTTCATATAACCTTTTTGGGAGTGCTTGGGGTCTGTGACAATAGTTTTCTGTCTAATTTGCTTTATCTGGGGCCATATCTTTTATTACTACTAGCCTCCCATGACTATAAAATTTTTCAGAATATCACTAAACAAAGTTAAACCTTGAGTTCCATAGAATTTTGCTTGAGAAGCTATAAAATTTTATGAACTACTGGTGTGTGGTCATGTTTATGCCATTATGTGTATGGGTATCATTAGATGAAAAAAACAAAGTGTAAAATAGGACTACTGTTATTTGTTTTGAATTGTATTAGTAAGTTCAGTTTTATTTTGAATTTGTAGATCTAATTTGCGGATAATTACCTCGAAGCAGAGCTTATTGGAATTTGGAAGTTGGGAATTTTGTAACTTGTCAACAACAGAAATAATTTCATAGATTCTGTTCCCTTTTGTTTGTTTGTTTTTGTTTTTTTGTTTTTTTTGTTTTGTGGTGACAGTTGCAGTGATTTTGCATGGGAACTGCAAAATATTGCAATAGCATTTGATATTTTACACCATAATATGTAGGCCGTATCCAAACTGTTGATGGTTGAAGCTAACGTAGTCAATCTACTATGTATTGATTTTTTTTTACCTACTTGTTAAAATTCACTTTTTCAGAAGCTTCAATCTTGGATTCAACTTTCTAATGGGAACTGGGAGCTGGGGAAGGTACTATCAACTTCAGGGACTGAATCTGTTGTATCACTATCTGAGGGAAAAGTAAGCAAACATATTAAATCTTGAATGTCTATTCTTTGTTAGGCAATTCAATTGATCATTTTATTGCTTTTAAATTTTAGGTTTTGAAGGTAAATTCTGAAAGTCTGTTACCTGCGAATCCTGATATTCTGGATGGTGTAGATGATCTGATGCAACTAAGTTATCTTAATGAACCTTCAGTATTGTACAATCTTCAGTATAGATACAATCAGGGTGTTATTTATGTAAGTGTCTATTGTTATGTTGAGTTGTATTCTAAATTTGCTCCTCAATTGTCTGGTTTGTCTGATATCTTTGTGTGTTACTTAATTCTGTGTCCATTCTAGACAAAAGCAGGACCTGTGTTGGTTGCCATTAATCCCTTCAAGAAAGTCCGTTTGTATGGAGATAATTATATTGAAGCATATAAGCGCAAATCTACTGAGAGCCCACATGTGTATGCAATCACAGATACAGCCATTCGGGAAATGAGACGAGGTGGTCTAAGTTTGTTTTTGTTTTCTAGATAACTTTGGATTTTTGGTTTCTTAACACCTAAGCCTTGTTTGGTAATCAATCACCATGAGTTTGTGAAACTCTTACAATGTTTCTTCTTTTTTCTTTCAGATGAAGTAAATCAATCTATCATCATAAGGTCAGTTGAACATTGCTAACTTGATTGTATAATTTTACATTATGTTTTTCTATGTTTTACATTTTAGTCTACTAGTCATTTTTCTGATGATGCAGTGTTTTGTATAATTAAAGAATCACATTGCTTGGATACTAAAGTAATGTGAACCCCAAGGGGTTGGCCTAGTAAGTGCAACTTGGGATCTAGGGGTGTGCTCCGTCTAGGTCTCAGGTGTAACTTCCATTAGGAGCAATTTGCTTCTTGGGACCACGCCTGCGGGTTCTGCCTGAGATTTGCCTGATCCACGTGGAGGGGGCGCTTTGCGTGGGTCCTGGAATTAGTTGATGTGCGTGTAAGTTGGCCCGGACACTTGGTCATAAAAAAAAAAGAAAGACGTGTAGTGTAAAAGCATTAGGGAACCCTCACCTTAATAGCTTAAGCTTTTGGGATAATTGGTGGTATTAGAGCTGGAGTACCAGGGATGGGTAGGGTGCATGTCCTTGGCCTGTATGCCACAGGTACTGCTGAATGAGCATGCTGGGCGTGAGGGAAGGTGTGAAGCAAAGTCTCACATTGACTGGATACTAAAGTAATGCATAGTATAAAAGCGTGAGGGCACCCTCATCTCGATAGTTAGCTTTTGGGGTTGAGTTATACCAAGACTGTTTAATAGTTACTTATCAGAAAAAATACATTCGTTGTAAGAAAAATGAAGCCAGCAACTTTACCAATCACAACCTTATTTAGTTGTTTATTTACTTGTATATTTTGCATGAAGTGGTGGCATGCTTGAACAGCCCAGGCTTTTGTCCTTGCAGCCAGCACTGTGCCTTAGGAGGGATTTTATCTTGTACAAGCAATCAAGGGATTTTATCTTGTACAGGCAATCAATAAAGAAAATTTTCTGCACAAAATACCTGGAGGTCTTATGTCATGTTGCTGAAAGTGCTCTTTCACATTATCATTACTTGATATAATGGCATGACATGCTCCTTGATTTGACTTGTGTGGAATTTTGGGGGAGTTGTCTGTTTCTTTGAAAATAGTTTCCCACATCAGCTGATGCTGGAGTGTCCTGCATAGGAATCTGGTTATATCGTTCTTCCTCTTCCCAAAACCATGCCTGGTTTTAAATTTTGATTATTTTATCTTCTGAAAAGTTGGCTTCTTCATCTTCTTCAACTTGGTCAATTTCTGATTTGAAAACACCTGATATCATTTGATTTATACTTTTGGAAACATACCTTCAAAACTTGGTTGGAAACATTTGTTTAATATATGATACGGCATCAAGTCATGATGAAAACTATTACACATTTTATGATGCTTTTTCGTTGTTTATAAACAGGGATTATACAATGGTGAAATTTCTGTGAGGGGTAATTAGTGAGGACTTGTTGTATTAAGTGCTTGATTGTTCTAAATTATATCCACTGCATGCCTTGGTTATACACACTCTATTTATGTGTCCAGTGGTGAAAGTGGAGCAGGAAAGACTGAGACGGCAAAGATAGCAATGCAATATTTGGCTGCACTTGGAGGTGGTAGTGGAATAGAATATGAAATATTGAAAACAAATCCGATTTTAGAGGCCTTTGGTAATGCAAAAACATCAAGAAATGACAACTCAAGTCGATTTGTAAGATCCCTTTTTTTTTTTTTTTGCTTAGGCATTTAAGTTGTTCCTTGGGTTAATATATGTTTACATTGATAAATTATTACCACTCTTTGAAAATGAATTTTATATTTGTTGCCCTTTTCCCTTGCAAGTAATAATAATCTCAACGAACTTGTCACAGGGAAAGCTGATTGAAATTCACTTCAGTGAAACTGGAAAAATATCGGGTGCCATGATTCAAACTTGTAAGATAGCTTCTTGCGTTGTGGTCCTTAGTAATTTTTTTTTCACTATTGCTTCGATTCAATGACCAACTGACATAATTTTGTTTTTTTTTTTGTTCTCTCCTGGTGACGTATTTCTTATTTTGTATAGTTTTACTTGAGAAGGTATGTCTATATTGCCCTCATTTTTTATTTTGGTCTAATTGATTTTAATCATACAGTTTACTAATCCAACTTGTTCGATGAACAGTCTAGAGTAGTCCAATGTGCGGAAGGGGAAAGGTCATATCATATATTTTATCAACTTTGTGCTGGAGCTCCACTTGCCCTTGGAGGTACAATTGTTCATCGCTGTTGTTTTTGTGACATGTTTATTGCATGTTATGGGTAGCTATAAATTATGTTCAGATTTTCCACTTGGTATCTATATGCTAAAGCATGGACACAGATATAGATGTGGACACGAACACGGACACGGAACAAGCAATTTCAAAAAATGGAGACACAGACATGGCGAGGACACGACAGTAAAATATGTTTTCATCTATTTTTATTTGTTATCTAGATTAATATTACATCCACAAACAATCAATATTAACAAAAACTAACTCTAATTTTTTTTTTTAATTTTAAAAAAGCACTTTTAAATTAACACTTATAGTTTATATATATTTTTTATAGATTATCTATTAAGTATTTAAATCTAAGAAAAAAATAATAAACATTCAATATTCATCAAAAGTACTAAATAAAATGGGAGAAAAGATAACTTGGCATGTCCCCGAAGTGTCCTCTGAAAATAAATTAATTAAATAAGAGTACATGGCAGGTGGTGTGTCCCATACGTGTTCCCAAAGTGTCCGCGTGTCCCCGAAGTGTCCATGTGTCTGACACAAATACGACACTTGTTTTGAAGTGTCGGTGCTTCATAGTCTCTATGTAAACTTGCATTTTTCCCCACTGTCTTATTGAATTTTCCATGTGCTGTATTCATATCATACTATCTTAAGCATCCAGTTACTGCATATACTGTTACAGTCATTAATTTTATATTCCCCATGCTAACAAAGCACGCAAACAAATGGTTAGCGGGCCAAGTCCATTGTTAGGAAAATACTGTCTATTGTATAGACGAATTAAACAGCCAGAAAGGAGTGATTTGATCTTTGTTGATTGAGGGTGATGAAAGAAATAGAGGAAATTCAATGGAAACATGGGTAGAGGCGATAAGGAAGGATATAATTGATTGAGGATATGATTTTTAATAGAGCCTACTGGAGAAATAGACCAATGTAGCTGACCCCAATCAATTATGGCAAATGTTTGTTGAGTTGGGTATGCCTTTGCACTCTACACTTTTTCCTAAAAATTCCACATCCCATTTCAAGAGAGTATAGATTAAAACGTTTATATTCATACTCAAAATGGTTATCAATGTAATTAAATCCTCCTGTCCTGAAGAGACGCAAACCCTGTCAATAGGAGCCTTACAAAGTCTGTACTGCTATGCCTTCTAATAATTCCATAGCGCCTACAAAATTCAGAAAATTGTCCAAAGTAGGGTAACCTGTCCCATCATCCAACTATATCGACAGTTCAGAATTTATCTTCAACTGACCAACAAAAATGACCACTCCCTTATCATCTTTTTTACTTTCTTGATGTGGTGAGAAAAAGAGGGGTGAGTAGAAGATCAGACTGGGAGGTGGAATATGTCTTCATGTCTCTTGTTTATGGATAGAGAAGGAAATAAAAGAGGAGAAGAAAGAATGAGACAGGGAGGGCTAAGAAGTGACTTCCAAGCCTCTTAATCTTTGGAGAAGGCCAATAGATTTTAGAGGGATAAGAAGAGGGAAGTGCAAAAGAGAGGAAGGGGCACAAGGCGAAACAGAGAAAGAGGTTGGAACTCCTCATATATTCATTGTTGATCCTTGTTGAAGGGTGTATCTGGTTTTCCACCAAAAGGCCTATTTATAGCCATTTCAGAAGAACACAAAGATCAAGATGCCTTTAAAATTAATTCTGCCAACATCGAAAATTACAATAACCCAATTTCTATACCTAGAAGACTAAACCTCCAAAAAATTCTGATATAAGAAAATGTACCATGATTTCAGGAAAAAAAATAAAGTTGAAAAACTAATATTTAGAATAAATCAATTGCATAATCTTCCAACTGCTTTAATGTCAAATAAGTTTTAAATGTTTATTCACAGCTGAGTCCACCTCAACCAAGGATACGTCTTCTTAAAATGCATTAGTATTTGGTATAGGAGCTTTCCTGGGAAGTGTTTATATACAGTTGCTCTTCATCAATTGACATCAGAGACGAGTCCTATCCATTTCTTGAATTTTGCTAATCAGTCTCTCCATTTTTTTTTTTATTTGAATTGTAATTTTTTTTTCCTGTCCTTTAAAAATGTTTGTTTAGAACTTTTTGAGCCATGCATGCGATGAGTGCATGAGACGAGCAACATTAAGTTGTAAGGTGATATAAATTCTTTGTTAACCAGGTGGTTGTCATGGAAAAAAAGGGTTAAACAGGACGATTAGTGTTATTGATTCCAGAGTTGAAGCTTTAGAAACTATAGTTCAATCCTATATCTGTCCATCATTGTCAAGAGAGTATTGTATGCTAAGCAGAGAAATGATACTTTGCCCTCTTTATTTCAAAATACAGGATTGACACAACTTCTAGCTTCTTGTACTAATTATAGAAAACACTTAGTACTGCATATGTTGCGCCTATAAAGTGCTCATCCTTGTTCATAAAACCAACGCCAATTACTCATCACAAAAGAAAAAAGAAAAAAGGAATCAATGCAAATTCCACAAGCACATCTGAATATTCTTTACGTTCTGAACTTCTGTTTGAAGGATCATGCGGATTGAAAAACTGTACTGGTTTGTGTCAGATTTGTGCATATTTTCATGACAAGGTCATATGTTAGCTTAGTTTTTCAACCTTTATATTTTACTCTATGTTACACCTTTTGCCCATTTTTGTTATTTATTTATTATTCTTTTACAATTTGTTGCTTTGTAACACAGAGAAGTTGAATTTGAAAAGTGCAAATGAATATAAATACTTGAGGCAAAGCAATTGCTATTCAATTTCTGGGCTTGATGATGCTGAACAGTTTCGCATTGTAATGGTATTTTCTTGTTCTTGTTCTTGTTCTTATTATTATGAACACAGTTATAACCATCAATGCTTTTAGAGTCTTATTTTTCCCTTTCCCCTTCAAGTTTAGAAATAGGGGTTGATTTATATATGAACGTCATTGTGTCTTTTTTCACTCTTCAGGAAGCTCTGGATATTGTTCATGTTAGCAAAGAGGATCAAGAAAGTGTATTTAAAATGCTCACTGCAGTTTTGTGGTTGGGGAATGTCTCCTTTATAGTGATTGATAATGAAAACCATGTTGAACCTGTGGCGGATGAAGGTAACAATCTTTCTAAAAGGATAAAGTTTAACAGTTGCATAGTTGTTTTGTTCATTTGATTTATTATTATTTATTTTGCTTCTAGCTGGTTTATTGGCTGTAGGTAGTAACACTCCTAAATTGCTGGGCAAATGATCAGTGAACTGTTTCTGCTCACTGATCAGGTTGAATTTGAATGAACAATCCTATTTATTGCAGTTTGGACATAGTAATCCATACTAGCCCTCCTTGAGCCTGTTGCTCTTGAGTATGACCCCAGGGACTTCGGTTCAAGGGTTCAAATGCTTGTGACGGATTGCTAAACATGGACATGGCAATCCTTGTTGCAGTGAAGAGGTTTTGAAACCCCTTTAGAAAATATTGCATTGCTGATGGTACTTCATGAATGCCATCCGCTGTCCTTATAATCAAATCAAAAATTCATATGAGCTTGTTTTTAAGCAAGCTCATAGGATTTTGGAAGAGGGAGAGGAACTATTAATAGATTAGATTGATTATTTATATTAGCTGATTTCTCCTTATTTCTCTCACTTGAATCCATTGTCTTGATGATAGCATGGGTGGATTAATAAATTCTTCCCCGGGGGTGGGGAGAGTGATATTTATAGATGTATTACACACACACATAGAGGGGGAGAGAGATCTTGAACCATGTATTGAAGAAGACAAATATTGTTTAAAATAAAAAAGATCTATACAAATTCATTGATAGAATTCTGTAGACAAAATAAAAAATATTACAATTGTTACCCCAAAAACTCACGGGGATCTAGATATATGTGGAGTGAAAATATTTCTGAATACTCTCTTGATAAGTAAATGTTTATTAAGAAAGCGCCAAAACGGGTGCAACCTCTGTAAAAAAGAGATAAAAGAGCTTTGCACATAGCAAAAATGCTCAACACAAAAATTGAGCTCTCCTAAAAATCTGTTAAAGCAAAAGAGGATTCACAAATAAATCCTTTACACTCCTGCACCTCCTACAATCAAGGCACGCGAGGAGCCCAACTAATTGTCATAACCAAGGATTGCTAGGCATTATTAAGGTTCTAAGACATGGCCAAGTGCCTAATTTGTAGTCCCAACTCCTAAGCATGTGGAAATGTGTCTGCCGGGTCTGACCAGTCATCTGCTAGACCTACTGGATGTCCGATATGGTAGATCCGGAGAACATACATTTTAGCTATGCAACATGGAACATCCGCTATCGCGTTCGGAAGTCTGAAATGGGAGATCCAGAGAGTTGGGTTCCCTGGTTTGTTGTGACAATACATTTTAGGTGCATCTAAAAATTTAAAAGTTTTTACTAACATATGAATAAATGTACTAAAAACAAAAAATTTGAAAATTTGAAAAACAAAAATCAAAAACTGTATTTTAGCTTAAAAATCATACAATTTTTTTAGTCGAGGGGGTAGAGTGATAGTTGAGGGGGTAGAGTGATATTGAGTTATAGTTTAAGGAGGTAAAGTTTAATTTACCCCTATAGTTGAAAGGGCGTTTCTGTCATTAAGGTCCAAATTGAAAAAAATTAATAGATGAGGGAGGTTAAGTGTTACAATTTTTAGTTCAAGGGAGTAAAGTGACTTGAGGCAATAGCTGAAGGGGGTAAAATGTAATTTGCCCAAAAAGTAATTGTAAATTAGTACTCTTCTCTATCCATCACTTATTCTGTCTGTTTTTCCTCTTTTGGTAAGCCACCAAATGTAAAAATCATGTAAATGAGTTCTACTTATCAATCTAATGCACTACAGTCATGAAGAGCACATAATATGTTTTATAATATATACATGTTTATTTTCATTGCTTCTTGAACTTTCTATGAATTCTCCTAAGTTCGGGTTTTTCAAATTTCAGGTCTAACCACTGTTGCTAATTTGATTGAGTGTACTGTTGCTGAATTAAAGCTAGCTTTATCAACTCGCAAAATGAGAGTTGGGAATGATACTATTGTTCAAAAGCTAACTCAATCTCAGGTAAATTATTTTATTGGGCAACATAACATATTTTAGATTGTACATTGTAGTCAATCTATGAATGGCGTTGTAGTATCAATGAACTAGATGCTTTTGGCGGGTTCTTCACATATTAAGCCCTCATAAATTATTTTTTCAACTGAAATTAGAGGCTTTTTCTTTGTTTTTATTTTTTTACTAAGATCAGATACATGGTTTGACTATCTTATTTTGGATAATTTGAAGTGGATCTATTGAGTGCATGTATCATAGGTCTGTGGAGTTAGGAATCACTGTTTCATGAGGTTTATGAGGCTTGTGCCTAGGGGTGTAATCGAGCTGAGCCGAGTCGAGTTTATCATTGTTCGAGCTCGGCTCGATTTATTTTAAAGATGTTCGAGCTCGGCTCGAGCTCGAAGCGAGCTCAAATATATCAGCTCGAGCTCGGCTCGCATAAAATTTTTCTAACTCGAGCTCGGCTCGTTATGGCTCGTTAGCCAAGTGAAACTCTTGGAACACTTGAAACAAGACTTCAAGCCAGCCTACTACTACACATAACATAAATAGATATCAATTTGCCTTGAACAACATTGTGTAAACGATGTGGGATAGATTGTTTGAAACATGATACAGCAAAACGACGCCGTTTTGTTGTTGTGAGGAATTGCACAAAAGAGTCCCACATCGGTCCATGACAAAAGTATGCTCAAAGGTGAATGCTTATAAAAGTCCCATGTGGTGGCCCATTGCTTCTCCAGTCAACTAAAGCTGAAACAAATGATTCCAAAGTTGAAGTTACAATATATATCTATCTATACTATTATAAAGTGAACACATAATATGGTGTCCTGAAGCTTGCTTTACTCTGCTCATGCCATGTGGCAGTGTTTTTTTTTTAAAAAAAAAAGTTAAACAAAGAGATGGGTAAGGCTTGAACCCATGACCATGGGTTTAAGTATGAGGACTCATACCACTTAAGCTAAGTACACATTATAATATTAATTTCATTATTATTTTCTTTTATTCCTATTTATTTAATTTGCACACACATCGTGTGTGCGCCCAACCGCTAGTATATATATATATGGACGCATATATAATAGAAAAAAAATTGTAAGTTTAATATTTTATTAATTATATTTATATTTATTTATATATTATATAAATATATACATATTGTATAATATATATATATATATATGTTTGAGCTCGCGAGCCTATCAAACCGAGTATTATTGAGCTCGGGCTCAGCTTGTTTGTTAAACGAGCTTAAAATTTAAGTTCGAGCTCGGCTCGTTTATTAATTGAGCCGTGTTTGAACGAGCCGAACTCGAGCTTGTTTATGAACGGCTCGGTTCGTTTACAGCCCTACATGTGCCTTCATGATGTTCTCATGGTGGGACTTATTGGAAATTCCTTCAGGACCAACTTTTGGGTTCAAAATTTTGAAACTTTTATAGGAAATTTGAAGTCACATATTCAATGCATGGATTTCACTTTTTTTTTTTTTGGATTTGTTCTTTCATCATTGTCCTGCCTTATATTTTGTTTTTTTTTTGGTTTTAGTACTCGATACCTGTCTTTTTGAAAAATGACGAAATAAAAGCTTAATGTCACGACCTTGGTTATTTCCAAGCATTCCGTGCGGCGCTTAGACGCTCACAAGCCTTACTAGTGAGACGAAGTTAGCTTGAGTCACAAGTTTGCAAGAAAGAGAAGGAGAAGACAGAGAGTTTAAGAGAATGCCTTTGTATTCACTTTAAGAGAAATTGTACAATTCTTGGATGGTTTGGAGCAAATAAGCTCCTCTCCTATTTATAGGCACATTTGGAACATTCTTGAATACACAAGAAAGAGGTATGTAGAAGCTTCCCATGGAAGCCTTCTTACAAGCTACAAGAAGATTCTAGAATGCCTTCTAGAAATATTTATACAAATATCTACAAGTCTAATTACATGTATAAGTGTGTATGTACTTGAATTATCTAGGGGCTTCTAGAATTCTCCATGATCTCACATGTGCTAGAGTTTGCTAGGAAGTTCTAGATTCTTCCATTGGCTCCATTCTTCCAAGCTCCCATTTGGTAGGATTTTTGCCATGGAGAATTTAGCAGGATGTGACATTAAGCACCGCATCATTTAGCCATGTGTAATGGTTTTGTTTGGCACCTCACAAGTATAGATACAGAATGTGCCTCAAAATGATAGATTTTAGCCATGAACTCAGTATATTTGTTTTTATTGTTTATTTATTATTATACATACGCACACATATATTTATATATTTTATGATGGGATGGTTGAATTCATACTTTTGCAGAAGCTCCTTAGGAGACTTCATTAATTTGTTCATATAGTAACATTGATATTGCAAGTTGAGTGATGTGTGCCTGTTCAAGATACTGTCAATACTTAACTCATGTCATGATTTGGAAATTGGTAAATTGGGCATTTATCTTTGAGCCCTGCCCCATGGCCTAATGTTGGGAGCATAAAAACTACCACACCAAGACAGAGACTGCACATGTTTTGTGTATCAAGTGTGACATGTTGATCTTGCATTGGCCTGTGACCTTTGGTTGAGAGCATATGAGATTCATATTTTATATACACGATGTTGAGTTCATATTACTACACTACAATACATGCTATCTTCTATAAATTTATTTTAATGATAAATGTGCATTTAAAGGTGTTACTTCTATCAAGTACTTTTTTTTCCCTCTCATATTAAATTATTAAATGACATTGTCCAATTGGCAAGGCTTATGCCTCATATAAGTTTTGCAACTTCTTTCTCTTCTTCATCTAATAAAGTTGTAATAGGTTGCATTGGATCTATTTATGGCTACTTCTGGAAAGGAATTCATAGTGGAAGCTACATATTTTTAAAATCTTCTTTCCATTCATATGATATGTAATACAGAGGATTGTCCTTAAATTTTGTCAAGTTCCAGAAGTTTTTACAGTTATTTTTATCTGTTAAAGTTTGTAAGAACCGACTCAAATGTGATGATCTTTCAATTCTGCCTTCCATTTTTCAGGCCATTGACACAAGAGATGCTTTAGCAAAATCAATATATTCTTGTTTGTTTGACTGGCTGGTCGAGCAAATTAACAAGTCTCTTGCAGTGGGCAAACGTCGTACTGGAAGATCCATCAGTATTCTTGATATATATGGCTTTGAATCATTTGATGTATGTTCCTGTGCTTTACTGTGTTTATCTTTACGTTTCTTTTATAATGATATAAGCAACGATGCTACATAACCCCGTTTTATTTTTTTATTTTTTTCAGAGTAATAGTTTTGAGCAATTTTGCATAAATTATGCAAATGAGAGATTGCAGCAACACTTCAATCGTCACTTATTTAAGTTAGAGCAGGAGGTAACTGTTCTAATTTTTTCTCAAGACTGTGTTTTAAGTACCTGGAAAATCAATGTTGAAAAATTCTGAGTGTCCCAGATGGCACCCCAAAAAAATAAGAAAAAGAAAAAAGAAAAGGAAAAGGGATTCTGTGTGTTATGATTTCTTCTCTCAAGTTTCAGATAGAAATTCTGGTAATAATTAGGCTTAAAAAGCACAGGCAGTCTTCGGTTGAGTAAACCAGAACTTTATCCAAAGTTGGAACCCTCTTTCAGTTCTAGCTCATTACCCTGGTTTTATACATCTGTTAAATAGTTAACTTGCATAAATTTTGGAGTGACCTTTGAAGAGTATTAAGTAAATAAAATAAATTGGTCAATTTAGCGTGGAAAACAAGGCTTGTTAGAATGTGTCCCACATCGCCTGGAGTTGCCCCTTCTGTGCTGGTTATAAGGCTCTAGTTTCCCTCTCATTAATACCTGGGTTTTAAAGAGAAGTGTGGGCTGCGCTTTTCAATTTGGTATTAGAGCTTAGTTGGGCCTGTGATTGGTGTGCCGCCTGTCTGGCTACTGTATGTTGTGGTCCAGGAAGGTGTGTTGGAATGTGTCCCACATTGCCTGGAGTTGCCCCATACAAGACTCCAGTTTCCCTCTCCTTAATACCTGGGTTTTAAGGAGAAATGTGGGCTGGGCTTTTCAATTAGGTTGTGTACTTCTTGCCCTTTCGAGACCCTGCTTTTGCATGAGGGGTCACCATTTTTTTTGTGTATTCTGAGTACTGAAATATTAGTGCTTATGCTGAATGAAGCCTTGTGGATGGGGTTTTCACAGGAGGATTTGTTGTATTGTATCCAGTAAATTTCATGCGACTCAAAATTTTAAACTCAATAATTTGCACAACAGTTACCACAAAAGAAGGATCAATTAGAGTTCACACTGGAACAATATAATCACTTAGGCTCACATTCATGACCTTATGATGAAATAAGTGGGCAATGACAATTGCACTTTTCTAACATCTTTGACTCGTATATGTATGTGTGTAAAAAAGCAACTTGTCAATTTCGGTATACATGTACACCCATATATATAAAAAGAGGCTGCAAAATGCATTCAACAGGTTGACAGATAGATGCTCATCTTGAAGATCAAAAATTTTCATCAATTTGAAGTGTTTTTGACTAAGGTTAAGTAAATGTCAGAGTGGTGAGCAAAATTTTCAGCTCCAGCGCTCATCTTGGTTCTTACACATGCAAACTGGGTATAGATAGAACACTGGAAAAATTTTTTTGTTAGTATTAAGTCTATTTATTTGTCTTGATTGTATAGAATACATTATTTAGGGTAAATTACACTAACCTCCCCTGAAGTTTGGAAAAAAAATAGAGTAAGCCTCACAGTTTTGAAATAATTACACCTACCTTCCATAAGGTTTTAATTGACAGACAGGTGCTTACCTTAACCTGTACTGATTTTTGAATAATAAAACTTTAGGGGAAAAACAATGATTACCGGACACCTGAAATTATGAATATTGTTTTTTGTTGTATCCATAAAAAAAAAAAAAAGCCATTACATTTTGTGGTGCGTGGGAACCCCAACTATTGTCAATGATTCATACTTCAATGATAACCCCAGTGAGTTCGTGTTCAAATTTTCAGGAACATCAATGGGGTTCAGCATTGATATGGGAATGTTAAAAATGTTACTTTCCATTGGATCTTAGAATACTGGTCTCTTTTTGTTTACAATGGACAGAAAGTCCATTTTAGTGATGGTCAAATCTATTGAGTAGTTATCCTGTAACTCTTTTCGATTGACAATTGAAATTTCTGTGTTAGGAATATATCCAAGATGGCATTGATTGGGCCAGAGTTGATTTTGAAGACAACCAAGACTGTTTGAATCTTTTTGAAAAGGTATAGAGATCATTGATGCATTGGCTTCAATGTGCTAATTATGATGTGTAGTGTTTGTAGTGTTTTGTTTCTTGTGTTTTTAACGTTGTTAGTATAAGATGATATTGTCCTCTGTGCCTTATCAAAATCCAAAAGAACCATGAAGATCTAATATTGATTTTTTTATGTGCTGTATAAATTGAAACATTATCCCCCCTCATGTTATGAATAGTTACGTGGTACGATGTTGAAAGTCTGTATCAGATGTTACAATTCATATGATGGAGTACCAAATGTTCTGCATAAAATTTTTAATGCTAGTTTGCATCGTGTATCAGTTTCTTTGTGCTCTCTCTCTCTTTCTCTCTCCTTGACTCAAAGATATATTATTTACATGAAATTGGGGTGGAGGATTGGTAGGTAATGAAAATAAAGTTTCCGGTGCTTTTGTTAAAAGGTTTAAACCTATTGTTATTTACTGTCTGTCTGTCACATTTATTATGTATATACATATTAAGTAATGCCCTTTGATCTCTTTCTTGGATGCAGAAACCATTGGGGTTATTGTCTCTGTTAGATGAAGAGTCTACCTTCCCAAATGGTACAGATTTGACGTTTGCCAACAAGCTTAAGCAGCATCTAAATTCCAATTCTTGTTTTAGGGGAGAACGGGGCAAAGCTTTTAGTGTTTCCCATTATGCTGGCGAGGTATTTATTTACCGTAGCAAATCCTGCATTGTTATTCCTTTTGTTGTTACAATCCAAATGCTTGCCAAGTAGATATGAAAACTCTTATCAAGTTTTAGCAGAAGATAAACTACCGCACCAAATCTGACCAAAGTTGATTTATCTAAGTTCTCTTGAGTTTGGAGATGTACTATAGGTGATGGGCCATTAATTCTTTTAGTTGTATCACCTTTTCACTTCGGTCAGATGAATGAAGTAATAGTTCCACTTGCTCCTTGCAGGTTATGTATGACACAAGTGGGTTTCTGGAGAAGAATCGTGATTTATTACACTTGGATACCATTCAACTATTATCCTCTTGCAAATGCCACCTTCCTCAGGTATTTGCATCGTCTTTGCTTGCTCAATCTGAGAAGCCTGTTGTTGGTGCACTATATAAATCAGGTGGAGCAGACTCCCAAAAGTTAAGTGTTGCAGCAAAATTTAAGGTACATTCACTTTCTTGAGTTTTGTTTGTCCCAGAGACTGATCATGGAATTTCACATTGTCGCCATTTATGCTAATTAGAATAGCATGAATGTCTGAGAGGCATTGTGTGACATTTGGGGCACTTAAATTTTATTTCTTCTTTTATTTTTTTGCTTTCTAATTAGCATTGAAGTAGCAAAACAAAGAAAAGGGTGTCTGGGCCATTTACATGGATAGTAATTTTCTTTAAAAACCCATTCTATCAAATTAAAAAGGCACAACGTGACTTATTCAAGGACATAAAATTTTTAAATATAAGATAGCGAATCAGAAATGTCACTAATAGTAATGAGAGTATTAGTAGCATGGACACTTCTAGGGAGGACCTGTTTCCATTTTGACAACAGTTTTCAGAGTCTCTAATAAGACCTATGTGGTGAATCTCTTAGCATGACTAAGGTTTGACTTTCTTGGGAATGCAACCCACCACCCCAAATACATTTTGAAACATTTCTAAGAGGCGTACATTATATATGGCATTTGTGGGATTTCGTCTTTCATATTTTGCATTTGTAAGTAGAATTTTTAGATATTTATTTACATCACATATTTTTCTTACAGTATATGCATCAAAAGTATATGAATAGTAATATGATTTGGTGTCCTTACTGTGTGCATGTCCTAGTTTCTTAGGAATTGTTGTGTTAGCATATTTGTGATGTTGTGTTTGTCCCATGTGTGTGCTACATTGATGAGAGAAAAACAGATAGTATTCCTAAGCTGTACTATAGTGGGTACCAATCCTGCATGGCTAAGACTTTTGGTTTCAACTCTTGTTAAGAATGCTTCAAGAATCAAAAGCGGTGTTAACTCAAAGGCATCATAAACCATAAAAGAAACTTTTTGGACAAAAGCTTAAGCAATGGCAAGAATGGATTTGAACTTCTTAGGTGAACTTCAATAATATTGAAAGCGATATTTTACTGAAGTTTAAAATAGTAGTGACTGATGAACCACTTATGGGGTGTATTGTTAATTAAGATCATGTACAAATTGATTACAGAGGTTTGGCCCATGTTTCTATGACTAGTCTTATTTATGATCCAGATGTAGATTCCAAAATGTAGGAATATTTCTTTATAGAATGTGAAATATGAATATTTTTCTATGTACATAAGAGTTGGAGGTTACATATGTTGTAGCCTTGAAATAAATAATCATCAAATTTATGTCTTAAATTTGGGGTGACTCTTGGTTTTTCATATGCACATGGGTTTGTGTCTGACACAAATGATGGATTACACAAATGATGGATTAGTATAACATGATATTACATTATCATTTCTGAGAATACTTGACCCTCATGGTTTGTGGTTTATCACATGATATTGTAGAAAATTTTCTTTTCAGGATGAGTTTTTGAACTTCTTAGGTGAACTTCAATCATATTGAAAGCGATATTTTACTGAAGTTTAAAATAGTGGTGACTGATGAACCACTTATGGGGTGTATTGTTAATTAAGATCATGTACAAATTGATTACAGAGGTTTGGCCCATGTTTCTATGACTAGTCTTATTTATGATCCAGATGTAGATTCCAAAATGTAGGAATATTTCTTTATAGAATGTGAAATATGAATATTTTTCTATGTACATAAGAGTTGGAGGTTACATATGTTGTAGCCTTGAAATAAATAATCATCAAATTTGTGTCTTAAATTTGGGGTCTCTTGGTTTTTCATATGCACATGGGTTTGTGTCTGATACAAATGATGGATTAGTATAACATGATATTACATTATCATTTCTGAGAATACTTGACCCTCATGGTTTGTGGTTTATCACTTGATATTGTAGAAAATTTTCTTCAGGATGAGTTGGCTTCTTTAATTTGATTCATGTTTGCTGATATTTAGGGCCAATTGTTCCAATTAATGCAACGTTTAGAGAGTACAACACCACATTTCATTCGTTGTATCAAACCCAACAACGTTCAATCTCCTGGAATGTATGAACAAGAACTTGTGCTGCAGCAGCTAAGATGCTGTGGGGTCCTAGAAGTTGTTCGAATATCAAGATCTGGCTTTCCTACCAGGATGACTCATCAAAAGTTTGCCAGAAGGTAAAGAAATATGGTGTCATTTTATTTAATTTTTTTAGTTCTATTGACATGCTAAAAATTGTGTAATAAATTCTCAAGCATCTGATTTTTCTTTTCTCAATGATCCTTTTATTTTTATTTTTATAATGCCCTCTTTTCATGTATCGTGCATTAGGTATGGTTTTCTTTTACTGGACAATGTTGCATCGCAAGACCCACTAAGTGTTTCAGTTGCAATTCTTCATCAGTTCAATATTTTGCCTGAGATGTATCAAGTTGGCTACACAAAATTGTTTTTCCGCACTGGCCAGGTAAGATGTACACTTTCAATTGACTCTGCAATCTAGTTTATTCAATAAAGATGCAAATATTTATATAATCCTACTAAGGCCTTCATCCTAACAGGGTAAAAGTTGAAAATTTTCTGTGCATGTGGACGGGTTGGCCCACATTGAGTAAAAACAGCTTGAGTTGAGCTGCCTTTTTGCATAACTAAAGTCAGTAGTAGCTTGATGATAAAATAGATATCACACCTTCAAAAATATCCAAATGGATACATTGCAAAATATTGGTATTTGCTTTGGAAGACCATAGAAAAATATATAAATATCAAAGTAAAAAATCAATGAAAAAGGATATATTTAGGTCTTGAACGTACAGATATATTGCAATTTTCATGGATATGTCATCTATTACTGGGGCTAAAGCTAGAGGTTTAAATATCTAGGCAGTTCACCCCTTCCTGCCTCTCAGTGTGGCGAGACCAACATTTGGTGATGATCTTTTGGTACATGAGTTGGCCAAACATGTGTTATGGGAAAAGGTTATAAACCTATCTCAAAAAAGGGAGGGCCGCACGTTTGAGCTTTTGCCCATCTACAGATGCTATACAACAAATGTAGTAAATTTCCTTGATGGAAAGGAAAGAACTTCCGTGGGTGATGTGTTTTAACACATGCATCGGATCTAGTTGAATTGAAATACCTGACTATTTTCATTTGGATTTTGGCAGCATGAGGTAGTTCAAGTGAAAGGATTTTACATAATTTTTACGTTTAAGCCTTTGTATTAGGTATATGTTGACTAGGGCTGCAAACGAGCTGAGCTGAGCTGAGCCGTGCATTGCTGAGCTCAAGCTTGGCTCGGCTCGCCTCCTTAATATTAATGAAACTCGAGCTTGGCTCGGTAAGATTTTTTTTAATATTATTTAAATAAAAATATTGTTTATATTATTTAATATATAAATAATATATTTACTATATAATTTAAATGGAGATAAACGAGCCGAGCTTATTTGAGCTCGAGCTCTGCTTGTTTACTAAATGAGTCTATTATTTGAGCTGAGTCGAGCCGAGCCTGTTCGTGAACAATTCGGTTCATTTGCAGTCCTAATGTTGACTTGTGATAAAAGCTTGTAGAAACTGTTAACTGTTGTTCCAAATACTTTGTTGCTTGGGCATTACACATTTTTGCTGATTCTGTTGAGTATTTTAATCTTTTTTATTTTATAATTACAACTGTTTGTAGTATTACGTAACTGATACCCTTGTAGACTGCTTTCTGGACTAATGTGAAATTGGAAGATAGACCCTAACAAGCCTTTCCACAAATAGTTTAATCTTGGTCAGGGAAACTCGTCAATTTTATAGCGAAATCATCTGTTTTACAAAAGAAATGGAAGAAGAGGGAAGCCCCAACACCTAAACATGGTAGTGGTAATAAGAAAACATGATGTCTACATATGACATGGATAGAGGTGGCAAAAAGCCAGCCCACACACTAACTATTCTGTATAGTTTAACGAGTGTTTATACTTTATGGGCTGAATTGTGAATTCTCTAATTTTTACAAATCTTATGCTTGGACAAAATATCAGAAATTCAATTTTAAAAACAAAGTCATTCATTTTATTCATCATCAATCTTTGTGTGACATTGACCATCTATACAGATTGGTGTGCTGGAGGATACAAGAAACTGTACTCTCCATGGTATCTTACGCGTTCAAAGCTGTTTTAGAGGTCACCAAGCTCGTCGTTACCTCAAGGAACTGAAGAGGGGAATTGCCACCCTTCAATCATGTATGTCAACGTTCGCCTATAGTCTGAATTTTTTTAAATACCTTTTACGAGGTAGCCTAATTTATCATAAATGGACTTACGATATCGATTTTTAAAAATCTGTTCTTACAGTTGTCCGAGGTAAGAAAACTAGGAAAGAATATGCAGTCCTGCTACAGAAGCATAGAGCTGCTGTGATCATACAAAAGCAAGTGAAAAGCAGGATTGACAGAAAAAGATTTGTAGATGTTTGTGATGCATCAATTCGAATACAATCAGGTAATTTGTCAGTACCTTTGGTGTACGCCTAATACCTTTAAAGAGAGTCCTGCTTAGTCACCAGCATGATATATGAATTCACAGAAAAGCTGGCAATGCACTCTGGGTTTGAGCAGGTTGTAGTCTTATTAAAAAATAAGAAAGATTATAAAAAAGCAATTAGTGATATTAATTTTCTGAAGAATAGTTTGGAAATTTATAAGTTGTATTTTCAAAATGAATAACTGCATTGGGGGTGATCAGTTTTGAGACAGTTGCTGAAACCCACTACAGTGGGCAAACTCCAGTCTGATATTGCCTTCCTAAGGTAATTTATTTATGCAGCTGCACAGTTTGTTTGTTTCATGTTCCTGACCTGCTATTTTGCAGTTATTCGGGGCTGGTTAGTTAGAAGATGCTCAGGAGACATAGCATTACTGCAATTTGGTGGCAGAAAGGTATTCGTTGACTCAGCTTTGGCTTTTACTACCTATGCAATGAGTACATTCTTTCATTTTTTATGCTTGTTTTAAAGACACTGAATATTTACTGAAGTTCTTTTTTTAATGAGGAAGTTTGATTTCTTCTTGAAGATTTTCAATGGGAGACAAATGGGAGACAAATAGTGTTTCCCACCATGTGTGGGACTTACCCTTCGTATCATGTTTGTGTCCCATTTTTTGAGGATCATCTGTGCACTTAGATTTACTCTTATTGTATGCATTATGGTTAATTTTGTTATTAAAGTATGATATGATGGGGCAGAGGTCATAGAGAACACCTCTCTGTTGTCGTTGCACTTGCTTTTTCTTCCTTCTTTCAAATCTGTATATTGATGGACCCAAAAGGCAAAAGCAACTTCGTGCAAGCACAGACGTCATTTTTATCCATTTGCTTGCCACAATAATGGCTTATTCATGAGAGGCGATGTGTGAGGGAGAGTACTGAAATATGTTACGCTTTAAATATTTACAAGAAAATGAATCATGGTGGGCTCATTATAGTTTTTGTTGTTATTATGTGAATTGTTCTCTTTCCATTTCCCCTTGTATTTTTTGCGTATGAGGTAACTATGATGAGTCGTGCAGGGTAATGAGTCAGATGAGGTGTTGGTGAAGTCATCGTTCCTTGCTGAGCTACAACGCCGAGTTCTTAAAGCCGAGGCAGCTCTAAGAGAGAAAGAAGAGGAGAACGATATCCTCCACCAACGGCTCCAACAGTATGAGAATCGATGGTCCGAATACGAGTTGAAAATGAAGTCCATGGAAGAAGTCTGGCAGAAACAAATGAGATCGCTCCAGTCCAGCCTTTCCATTGCGAAGAAGAGCCTTGCGATTGAGGATTCCGAGAGAAATTCTGACGCATCAGTCAACCTCAATGATGACAGCTGGGAGACTGGAAGCAACTTCAGGGGTCCTGAGAACAATGGGCTGAGACCGATGAGTGCGGGCCTGAGTGTGATAAGTCGGTTGGCTGAAGAATTTGAACAGAGGAGTCAAGTGTTCGGTGATGATGCTAAGTTCTTGGTGGAGGTAAAGTCGGGTCAGGTCGAGGCAAATTTGAACCCGGATCGTGAGCTTCGGAGATTGAAACAGATGTTTGAAGCGTGGAAGAAGGATTATGGGACAAGACTAAGGGAAACAAAGGTAATTCTGAACAAGCTTGGAAGCGAAGAAGGGGTTAGTGATAAGGCTAGAAAGAAGTGGTGGGGAAGAAGGAATAGCTCGCGGATAAATTAAAATCAGTAGTACATCCATACTTTTTACTGAGGTTGCAACTGTGTCATTGTATGCCTCTTTCGTGGCTTTTGATTTTGCATTAAGTTCCAAGAATTGATGTGTACCACGATAGATGAGTGGGTGCACATTGAAGAATCCTAGCGATTCAAATATGTATATCATTTTTTATTTTTATTTTTATTTTTATTTAAAAAAAAAAAAATTGTGTCGTGTGAGCTCGGGGTGGGATGAGCAGTTTTGTGACTCTTCCTGGCTAGTAAGGCTGGTCCGGTTTGTAAAAGATTTCAATCTATTTGTGTAGAAAATCAAGATATATATAGTTGGTCAATGATATCATTTGTTTTGAACTGAAAAGGGAAAAGATTCAATCTAAACCAATTGTTTTGTTTGTTTTGTTCACGGATTGAATCTTTATTTTGATTTTTTGGTTGAAGGTAATTTTTTCTCTTTAAAAGTAGTCATGTCTACAAGTTTAAAGTTTAATATAGGAAGAGTAGATAAAGTCGGATTCAGAAGAATTGGCCAATTTTTACCAAAAATATTTATTTTTTATTTTATTGAAAATAATATTTGTATTCTAGAAAATGAACAGTTGTGTTGTGTGAGCAAACACAAAACAAACTAGTAGCTCAGAACTGCCAGAGGAGAGGAAGGGAGGTAGAGTTTCATATTATTCTGTATTTGTTGTTTTGGGGACTCTTTTTTCCATATCCGTCAGAGTAGGTTAAATGTATAAATTATATTTTGAAATCTTTATAAAAGAAACAGTATGGTAAGCATTAAATGATAAATAAACTCTTTAAAATAATATAATTCTTAACCTGCTACAAAGATACTTATATGTAAGCGTCACGTGCAATTAAGGTCACAATTTTTTAATCACTTAGTATTTTTATATTTTTTTATTTTCGTAGTATATTTTTTTATTATAATTTCTATATTTTTATTGATTTGCAATTTCACTTTGGTTTGTGGGCACGACACAATTTTGATATTTGTACAAAAATTACATACTAGATATAAAATTATTTTGATAAAAAAAAAAAAAGAAAAAAAAAAAGAGAGAAAAATGGAAAACTAGTGGACTTGCATTGGACAACTTTACATACAGAAGAAGTCCCCAATGTAGGAAGTAGAAGAACCACAACCCGACACCAAACTCATTGATTCATTCATCATTCTCCCAATCTTCTTCTTCTTCTTCTTCTTCTTCTTCTAGTTTGCTCTTCTGCAAGTGATCTGAGTGATTGAATAACAATATAATGTCTACTAGCTCTCGTATTTCGCAGCACATACGAGTGTGTAATCAGAACCACCTAGGGTTGGGTTTTTGCTACTCTAGAAATGTTCACCTTTCATCTTCTTTGATGCTCAGACCTCCCTCCTCCGTTGCCCCTCTTTCTGATAAAAGATCAAATTCTTCTTCTTCTTCTTCAAACATCGATTTCGGCCTCCCTCTTTCTGCTTCTCTTCAACCCAAATCGCCTACCGCCGGAATTCCTGTGCTCTCTGACTGTTTCAGGTTCGTTTCTTTCCTTTTTTATTATCTTTTTCTTCTTATTTCTATTCTATATGAAAATTGCAATTACCATCTGTTTGTTTGTCGAGAAAACTGTGGAAAATTGCATCTTTTTATTCATTGTCTTTGCATTGGATTGGATTGAATTGAACAGAAGAAATAAAAAATAAAAAATAAAAAGAAGAGATTTTGAATAAACTTTTAGCAGTATGAGGCTCAATACAATGTTTGAGAGCATCAATTCATACAAGTGTTTGTGTTTGAAAAAATACAAATTTTTTGTTTTTGGAATTGTTCTTTCAAGATTCCCATAGCTTTTTCAATTTTTATTTCATCTTTTAGTTGTTATTCTACTATACTATATGCTCTTTCGAAAGCTTTCACACTCACTGGACCAGTGAGTGTAACCCCAAAAATATGGAAATTATATTCAGTTACTTTTATCCTGCTTTTGTCAATGATCCCTATTCTTATTAGTGTGTCTGATTCTTCTTTCTTTGTGCAAAGCCAACATGAAGATGATCGCGAGCCTCCACCTGAAGGATTGGCCTCCGTGGCAGGTTTTCTCTTTACTGATTATTTATTTTTCCTCATTGTCCCCTGATTTATGTGTATAATGGATGCATGCACCTCATTGAAATCATAAACTCTTCTTTATTTTCTTTCTTGATAAAGAATGTTTCTTGCTTGCTTGCTTGTCTTTGATTACTGAAGAATGAACAAGAGACACTGTGGGGATCACGTTTTCGGTGTAGGCTTGTGGGCTAGCCCAATCTCCGCTCACGGGTTCAAGGGAAGTCTAGACCCCGCATAAGTGTGGCCTCGAGGCATCAGGCTGACTTAAGGGTACGTCAGTTGTTATTGGGTGTTTTTTGGCTCGCTTTGAGATGGCACTCGAATGGGCTCTGGAGTCCACACTTGATGGGCTAAAATGGAGAAACACCCAAAAACACAAGAGCAAGTGTGATTCGACACATCTAGAATCTAGCTAAGGGAGGCATTGGTTTTAGGTGGAACATGTTGGCTGGTCCAATGTGCTAAGATAATTAAAATGGTTGATATGTGAACTGAAGAAGATGTGCTTATGTTTAGAATAGAGAGTGAAATGCATTACTAAAGCTACGTAGGGGTTCAAAAGTTAAGCATTTGAGACCTGTACAAAAATATGCCTTGGAGCTAGGAAGCATGGACACAGATATGAGATACGAATACAATACGATACGATACGGATATGGCGATACGACAAAACTTTAAAAAATAGGATAAGGATACAGATATGGCTAGGATACATTTGTGGAAAATATATTTCTTTTAAATTATTAGTTATAAAATTACACATAAGGTAAAGAATGTTGAGAAATCTCAATGTAATTTATAATGCAAAATACTAACCTTTAGGATTTAGGTATTAATTTAAGCTAGTAGCTTGTTTATCTTTTAAATAGGTTTTGCAAATATTTCATTTATGTAAATATAATAGAACAATCCACAATTTGTCTCTATGTTTTTTCCTTTGACATTAATAAAAATGTTGTATTCTAGTTTACCTGCTTATTTATTTATTGATATTTAATTTTATTATTGTTATATTTTTTTGTTAATCCTTACTTTCTATATAGTTATAGGAGGCGTGCATGAGACAATTATGATACATCAATTTAACAAATTATATTATTTAACTTACTATGTTCTTATTAAAGAACTAAACAAACTATTCGAAAAATATTCTTATATTTATTCTTGTAACTATATTATATTATAATACTATGCAAAAAATGCTACAATTCTAATTTCGTAAAACAAGTAATATGTGACTTGAAGTATTCGATACTTCAAAATTAGCTATTCAATACTCCAAAATTAATTAAGAAGTATCCGATATTTTTAAGAAGTATCCAGTACGTATCCGCAAGTATCTAAGTAGTATAAGTATCTAATACAGATACATCACCCTATTTGAAGTATCTGTGCTTTATAGCCTTGGAGGCTAGTTCAGAGTAGTAAACTGCTGCTAAAATGTTATGGGATAAGTGTTCTATATGAAAACAACTTAGTTCCCTTTGCTTGGCTTCAAAATAGTAAGGTAAGCTCTCTACTTGTAGAAAGGAGAAGCCAAGTATGTTGTGACAGGTGTTTTGGGGTATGAAATGCTCAGAAGGACAGGAAAATGTGTAGGAAAGATGTTGGTTTTAGTAGTTTTTGCTACGTTAGTTTAGTTTTGGAGTGGCTTTGTGTTGACGTCAACATTGTTGTACTGTGGTTGAAAACAAATTGAAAGGGGATCATCTGATAAGATCTCAACAAAATGGGCTTCAGGCGTGCCCAAGTGTGTGCATCTACTGGTCATAGGAGGACAACTAACCTTAGTCCTTCATGCTTACTATCGAAGGATGCATACAAGAAGGATCTTTGGGGAACTCTCATCTCATGTCTTATTGACCACTTCTCCCAAGAGCTCCCTTAGCTAAAGTGAGTTGACCACTAGTCAAACTATCATAAGATCTCATAGGTTAGGTTTGAGTAGAAGTTGGCTGCTGGAGAATGTGCTAGAATGGATCTGGCTGGGCCAAATTGCACTTGGGTTGTATCAAAATGATCTCCTAAGGTTCGGGCAATCTGTGTCAGACCAAGAAAGGTCCTGGGTGTTATTGTAGAGACTTAACCCACGTGGTAAACTGTTCTGCTATTGCTGAATAGCCAAATCACATGGGATTTTGGGCATTATTCCAGATGTTGAACAATCAACAAAGTGGGGGCTTTTGTTGTTTTTTGTTCGAAGTATGGGCTTTGCCAAAATGGTTTGAGTTTTAATCAAGCCAAGTAGATTTGTACCATGCTACTAAGGGTCTTAAGCTTCATTTCAGAGGCTGAGCCCAATAATTTTAAGGGCCAAATAGGGCTTAAAGAACTGATTCTTGTATCTATAGACATACCATTTGACCAACTATAACACTTGGGCACCATTCTTGAACACTGCTCAATGGCGAAATGGACTTGGCTTGAACGTCAAGAAAATTTTGAAAGTGTAGCCCTTGTTCAGACATAGATTGGAATATCCCCTCAGGATTGAATGTGGAATTTAGATAATCTTATGAAAGGGTTTTCTAGGCTTAAAATGAAGAATGAAGTTAAAACATTTAAAAGAAAAGGGTCTGCCTTCACCATTTGTTTTATATGCAAAATTCCTCAATTTTTAAAATTTGTTTCTGCTATCTTTTGGTGCTTTGAAATTAGCTTTCCAACCATATAAAGGTGTCTTGATTCAATTTAAAATGAAAATGTTATGAGTATATTACAAAATTTACTTCGTCTTGACATTTTGATGGTGAAATAGTCATAACTCAAAAGGTATTGGGGATCTGGAAACCAAACCAATTGGAGTTCAAAGTAGACTCTTAAAGCTTTTTGGAAGTGTGCGTTGTGAAATTCGGATAAGCTCTTTGTGTGGTCCTGAAGTTCAGACTCAAATTCAGTAAAGTATAGTGGAATGTTGTACTATGGTTGAAAGCTGATTGAAAAGGGATCATCCGATAAGATTTCAACAAATAGGTATGAGGCTTGTCCAAGTGTGCATCTACTGGTCAATATGAGGATAACTAGCTCTTTGTGGATACACACAAGAATCCTTTGGGAACTTTCATGTTTTCTCAACCTCTTCTCCCAAGGGCTCCCTTAGCTAAAGTGAGCTGGCCACTTGTCAAACTATCATAAGACCCCATAGATTAGGTTTGAGCTGAAGTTGGTTGCTGGATAATTTCATTGGCATCCTTCTTATTGACTTAAATAAGTTGGGGGATCAATCAACAATCAACTCTTGTAACATATTTTCTTCTTTCATCTTGCCGTTCATGCATTTAAAAAAAATTATAATTTCAAGCTTGCATTATTTGGTTCAATTTTTTTATTGAATCTCTCTCTCTCTCTCTCTCTCTATATATATATATATATATAAAGGTTTCTAATTTTACAACCTGTTCAAAGAAATTGTTTTGCAGTTTTGCATGAATAATTTTAAATTGGAATGTGGAGTGGAAAGGGGATTATACTAATTTTTCTGTCATTCTGTAATAAGAGAAAAGATAAATGTACACCTTTTTTTGTGTGTTTGGACTAGTTTGTAGCTCTCTTTTGTTTCTTTACTACAAAATCAATTCTTATCCAATTTGAGTGGACAATACTTTTGTAGAATACTTCATAGAAATTTCTTTATCTGGCAATAGCAATTGCATTTTTTTGGTTGCGTGTATTGTTTATAGGTTTTATTAGTGTATTTTTTTTCTCCACCTGGGTTCTTTATAAATTTTTTTGGTACATCAGAGATTGTAGCTAGGGGAGTGAGATTCAAACCCTGGACTCCGATTCTGGCCAGTTCTCTGTAAATTATTATTATATAAGAAAACATTTATTTATTTATGTTGTCTAATATTTTGGGACTTATATGCCTTATTATCTACAGTCTGTCAGTCACTTGATTGTTATTCCTTGGCAATTTTATTCCACTGTAAGGCTTTCTCTCTCTTTTTTTTTTTTTTTTTTTTTGGATAGATAAGTATGCGGACTTTATTGAGAAAGCATCAAGATGATGCAAAGAATACAAAAATTCCCAAGAGGGTAAAATACACTCTCTAACCTATATCCAAAAACTCTAAAAAACTAAACATATCCGGATTAGTTTTCATCTCTAACCAACTATACAAAACAACCCGAAAGTGACTCTCAATCTAACTAACATTGCGTTGAATATCTTGAAACATGCATCTATTACATTCCAACCAAACTAACCACATCAAACAAAAAGGGACCAAATTCCACACATGCCGCTGTTGACGCCTAACCCAAGCCCCGCGCCAGCTCCACATGTCCACCACCCGCCTCGGCTGAACCTAGACAATCCCAAAAAGAGAGAAAACAAAGGCCCACACATGGGGACACCACCGGACAATGCAAGAACAAATGATCCACAGACTCTGCATCATAACACATACAACACTGATTCACTAGATTGTGACCCTGCCGCATCAAGTTGTCAATCAAGAGATTTCAACTCAAAGCCGCCGTCCACATAAAGAAAACAACCTTAGATGGAACTCTTGGCACCTAAACGCTCCTCCAAGGAAAATCCCGCCTTACCTCCCCCATCAAGTTCCATTAGAATGACGAGACTGAAAAACACCCTTTAGCCCCAACAGTCCAGCACAAAACATCCTCTCCTACCTCATTCACCCCCAACCCATACAAGTAACCCCATAACTCCACCAGCTGATCAACCTCCCAGTCTTGAAAACTCCACCAGTTGATCAACCTCCCAGTCTTGAACCGGTCGCCGTAGCGTATTGTCCCAAACCACCCCCTCCCCACCCCTGAAATAGGATGCCACCATAGCCTCCTGATCCCTCACAATACTAAAGATCTAAGGAAAGCGAGCCTCCAACGAATGCACCCCACACCATCAATTCTTTTAAAAACGCACCCTCACCCCATCACCGACCCAAAAACCCACCCTACCCCAAAACTCACTTCTTCCCAACCAGATCCCTTTCCATAACCCACAACCATACAA